TCTGATCGGGGAAGCGCTGGTAGCCCGTCGCAGCCAGCGCCGTTCCCCGTCTCACACATGCGCACAAACGCACAATGTCCGTTTTGTCATGCTGCATCTGATCACCTGCCAAAGTCCCGAGCACTGAGCCACGGGGGCGCGTCGGATCGCGCTACCACGGTTCTTTTTGCTCCGGCTCTAATTTGCCTCCCTTCAGCGGCGCAGTATCCCGCTCGTGTGACCGGGACCTATTATAATTTCAACTGTATTTATATATTCACTTTTATGTAAGCCACCCTGAGCCTGCCTCGGCGGGGAGGACGGGGTATAAATTGAATAAATAAATAGATAGTCTTGGGGTTGTTTGGCGGGAGAGAGGGGAGAAACTGTAAAATACTGATTTGACAAGTCACCTACTTAACATGATTGAGTTAACAATTTTTAGGAGCAAGATATTACAAGTTAGGGGCCACGATACAGGCAAGGCTCAGCACGTTTAAATCCCAGTGACTTCGACAAGAGGGATTAAAAACATCTTTAAGCATGCTTAAACAGGGAAGATTACAGCAAGATTAAAGATTAAGTCTCCATGAACCCGATCGGAATTTGGCTGACTTGTGTCTCTGGATTTTAATCGGGTGCTGAAAATTCGGTTTTAAATTTGCGAAAATCTGAATTTTTGAAATGCACGCAACTCTGTAGGCAGTAAAAAATGTGTGTTACGTTCCATGCGGGGACTGACGGACCAAACATCTCTAGGAACCACACTGAGGAGATTAAGGTTTGCTTAGGAGACTTGGGGAAAGAAGCAAGACTCATGCCAAGGTCTGGGGAAGCGCTATAACCTGAGTCATCCGAGGACCGTCTTCTGTGTTGGTCCCGCATACTCCCTCCTCGCTCCAAGTCCACGCTCTGGAACAAGCCAACAAAGCACGTGAGTCCCAGGTGTGGAAGGGAGAACCCCGCTCACTTTGCCTCCCGGAGCCATGTCCCGCGTCCGCCAATTACCTCCAGCTTGGCGTCCAGGCTCCACCCCTTTGCACGCCCCATTCCCGGCAATGCCACACCCTGGACCCTGGAAGGCTGCACGAGCTCTGTCCCTCTGGAGCCTGGCTCTGTCCACTCCGCGTCAGGATTGGAGCCCTAGATCCATGGCGGTGGGGAAAGGTACACATTGAAAAAGTGCTTCTCTGAGCGCTCCTCTGCCCAGTTTCCTGCAGCAAAGCAATCCTTACCTGTCTCACTCTGCTCGGCAGACCCTTCACCCCACTTCCCGGGGCTGCGGTCCCCATTCCTGGAAGACCCACTGCCATCGCAAGGGCATCCTGTCCTAGCTTCCTTTCTTCCTCGGAGCGAGGAAGGGTCTTGTGTTCATCCCCACCCGTGGGCGGCGGGGGAGGACTCGGGGGCAGATCGTCAGGGTCCCGCTCCCCCTTGATGCTGCGATGCCTCCGGAAATGGAAGAGACCCTTCCTCCTCTTCTTTTGCAGAGGCGGAAGGGGGTCAGAAGGGCCTGGCCTCACGCCGCAACTCTTTGGCGTCCTGGGATAGCTGCAGGGGAAGAGGTGGGAGGAAGGGAGGCAGCCATCAAGCACGGCACACGAGGGGTTCTTGGGAGCAACAAGACCAACAGGAGCTCGGTTACAAAGGCTAGAGCTACCCTTACCACTTCCGGGTAGCTCTAGGAGTCATCAGGAAGTCTATGGTCACCACTTCCTGTAAGGAGCTGAAGCTTTGTTTTTCTTTTTGATTCCCCCCCCCCCAGGATGCTGCCCCACCTCACCCACGGCCATCCCGCCGGTTGCAAGGCCTCTCAGAATTACGACTGATATCGAGACTACGAGGATCGGTTCCCCTTGAGACAATGATGGACGCTTCAGAGGGTGACCGCTGTGCCATCCTTGCTCCGTTCCCTCCTCCCCGAACTCCGCAGGCCCCACCCTGAAATATGCAGGAATTTCCCAACACAGAGTTGGCAACCCTACAGGGCACACGAGCAATTTAAGGCACGCAGAGAGTCAGTGCAGTTCTGTACAATACGTCTCGGCTCACTTGGTATTGTCCACAAGCACCCTTCTGTTAAAAAATTCATCCAGGCCCTCATCCAGCCGTGGCATCGACCCATTCTCTTGCTCCCAGGGCTCGATAGACGCCAGTATTCGGTTCTGAGTGGGAAAGAGAGGTCAGCCTATTAATTCCCCCCACGTATTTCACGTAACATCTCTTTTATTGCCACCCTAAAGGAGTATAGGTGATGCCTCACATCCCGTGGACAGGAATTCTGGTCTCAAAACAAGAAGAAAATCTTGTTGATTTAATCATCTCCTGTAACGTTGCATGTCCATCCGTATGCAGGCTAAACAGGAAGCACCGCCCCTCACATAGGAGGGACTTCCTGTTTTGAGAAAGGATAACTCGTTCGTTTGGGAGGAAGCTGAACTAGAATGAAAAGAAAAACAACGTAAAGGAGTAAACTAAAGATGCCAAGTAAGATTAAAGGGAGAAACGCTGAAACTTGAACAAGCAAAAAAGAAAAGAAAACCACAGAATAAAGCTAATGAAAGGTGGGTGATATAGAGAATAGGTAAGCAAAGGAGGAAATGAATTGAAAAATATGGAAGAGAAGAAGAGCAAAGGACAGGAAATGAGGTGGGAGATTTTGTATATCTCCTAGATTCGTGCCTTGTTGGTCTCTAGGGTACTACTGGACTCAAATCTAGGCGTTCTGCTGCAGACCAACATGGCTACCCTCTTAAATTATCTTCATATTTCTTAAATTTCTTAATTTCTTGTAGACTAAAAAAAAACCCCACAAGGTATGTGAAATCCCGGAAGGATCCTGGAAGAAAAAGCCCAGATTTGCATGCAAAATGGCAAACATGAAACAGCGAGAACAAATGGAGTGATGAATGAACGAAAAGTTCAACTGGCAAACCAGGAAGTCCCGCCTGGTTGGGGCAGGCACTTCCTGTGCAGCTGCGTGAGAAAGAGAACTGAAGCCTAAACCGAGCGGGAGAATGGGAGAAAAAGGGCAGAGATGAGCAAGACAAAAAAAGAACTTGTTTGCGGTACTCACGTTGGAACGGAAGCTGTTGCGTGGAGCTGTGCGAGGGGGTCGAGGCCTGCTACGGGTCTGGTGCTCCAGCCGGATGCCCTCAGTCGGCAAGTCAGAGAGCGCTTCAAAAGATGTGCTGCAGGACCGGGAGTACTGGCTTCCGCTGGCCAAGGAGATCCAGCCCAAAGGGGAGTCCATACTGGGAACAGTCAGTTCGCCATCCTGTTCTGTGCCGCCTACAAGAGGAAGCAGGTCTGTAGGGGGGATTAAGGGGCAGATAGACAAGCCTGGAAGGATGGATGGATGGATGAGGAGGAGGAGGTGTGTGCAGGAAGAGAGAGGATAGGTGGATGAATAAATGGTGTGTCCCGAGAAGCACATCCACAGGGATGGCAAAGACTGTTCATGGTACTGCATCTGCCAATAGATGGATCAGAGCATAGAAACAGACAATTATGGAGATAGATAGTGTGCCTGTGAGCATGCAGGTCTGGGTAAGGAATGCTGGCCCATGTCATGGGCATTGATGAGGATGAGCTGACAGAGCCTGCAGAAACCACAGCTGGCCCCTCTGAAGCAGCAGAGGATAGCTGGCACCTGCCTGTAACAGCAGTCTTCACACCTGGCCCAGATAAAAAGGAAGAACAAGCTGAGAGTCCTCCTGACTCACCCCCACGTGTGACTTGTTTAAGGGAGCAACTGCGGCAAAACTTAGCAAGCAGGCGAAGAGAGGCCAGGCTACAAGGGAGATGCTCAGCTAGCCCAGAGTTCTAACAGGAGCCTGGCCGGCCGTGCAGCTGGCTAATTGGTAGCAGCATTTAACTCCACACTCTGGGCAGTACTCTTCGTGGACGCAACAAATCAGCTTCGTACTGCTAGCATCCACTCCAGTTCAGCTCTTGCACCTAGACCTTCGGACCCCCTGGCTTTGGACTTGGCTTTGTGTTCCTGGCTCCTGACCCCAGCTTGGCTTTGGACTACGTTTCTGGTTAGTGATTTTGGACTTGGTTCTGTGTTTCTGGCTTTTGACCCCGGTTTGACTTTTTGGACTTTGCACTGTCTTCGTGGCTCCTGACCTTGGCCTGTTCTGGACCACCTTTGACTGGCACCCCAGCCCGTGACAGCCCAATCCATTTCGGCTCCGCTAAGCAACTATACTGCAAAACCCCAAGAGGGTGGCTCTAGAAATGGGCCAAAGGAAGGAGCTGGGGACCCCTGACATGGCATCACGTCTGCCCCTGCAATGCTACTGTGCTCCAGGGGACTGTTCAAGTTGCTCGTAGCAGTTGAGCCGGCTCCATTTTGAATAGATCAACCTTGCACAAAGCGAGATGGAGAGAGGGTGGAAAACCAGTCTGGAAAGACCAGAACTCACTAATGAAGGCAGAAGCGGGCCGGATTCTCCGGCAGTTCTTTTGTCTCTTGATGGCCATGGTGTCCTGTGGGAACAAGAGAGAGAGGTTAGGTGACCCCGACTCCTTTGATGGCATGGAACGTCAGCCTACTGGATCTCTCCAGAAAGTATTCCGCACGTTGGCCGACCTATAGTACTTACGATGCTGGAGCCAAGTTCATCGTCGGTGGTCTCCTCGTGGTCGCGGAGACGGGGCTTCCCTAGGTGCTCCGGGAAGACGGCATTCTCCTGACCCCCAGAAAGTCGGCGGAGGTGGATGATGTGCTGGGCCTGTGGTTAGGGAGGAGAGGAGGCGTCATGGATGGGGGCAGAAAATAAGAGGCTTTACGAAGCATTGGGAGTATGGGCATTGGGGGTACATGTCCGAGGATATGGCTGTAAGAATGAATCAAGCCAGGGGATAAATGCCTTAGCCTGCTTCCTCTGTCTATCTCACTTGCTGAGACAGAAGACGATGCGCTCATAGCACGAGTAATAGTTAAAAGACCCCCCCACAAGCAAAGATGTTTTATAGATGATATATCACACCTGATAAATTCACTAAATTTGACCCTAAATGTTCAAATGTATGTTGGAAGTGTCAAAATAATGTTGGATCCTTTTACCATGTGTTGTGGTTATGTGATAAAGTAAAAAAAAATACTGGGTCTGGATTCACAAAATCTTACAAAACATTTTTAAATGTTCTGTACCCTTTGTTCCAGAAATATTCTTGTACTGTTGTATATATTGTTCAAAATAAAAAACACTTATTGGAAAAAAAAAAGTTGTAAAAAAAATGACTCTTATATTGTATTTGACTACAACTGCTAGAATACTTTATGCTAAATATTGCAGAAGAACAGGAACACCTTTGAGAGAAGAAATGTTAAGCAAAATTTTGGAAACGGCGGAAATGGACAAATTAACTAATTTTGAAAGGACAACCAGAAACCACATTTGAAAATACATGGTCAGGACTTTATACGAGGTCTGAAGACTACACTAAGCAAACAAGACAGATCCTCAAAACTTGTTAAAGGTATTTAAAGTGCAAATTTGATATATTTGCAAGTGATATTCATGATATAAGGTGAAATATATAAATGTATGATAAATTAGGCATGAGTTTGTCAAAGAAGGAATTGTACGAAAAATCTCCCCTCTTGTATGCTTGATATGTCTTTAAAATAGAAAAGAAATTTAAAAAAGACACACACACCCCAAGCAGAAGAATGTGTTTTGCTTCTTTCAAGTCTCAGCCCTAGAAGGGGGTTTCTCCTCTGACTATTGTGGTACATCAGCTCAACAGTTCGTATTGGCCATTCCAGCATGTGAGATAATCGCACCCTCTTTGATAACTTTAGACGTGTGGGCATAAAGTTGCATTTACTCAGCAGTAATGTGAATCCACATGCTGGGGGGGGGGATGCTTCCTTGGTAATTCTGTTTGTTTGTTTGTTTCATTCCAGGAGAAAGACATGGCTCAAAACCTAGAAATAAGGTTCCAGGACTTCGCCTTGGGTGAAACAAAACCTCAGGATTCTGAAACATGAGCTATTGGCTGTTCTGGGGGGTTTCTCACCAGGTCCTTGTGAGCGTGGTAGAGTTCCTGCAGCAATTCTTCCACAATGGTGTTGGTGAGATAGGTCACAACAGAGAGCTTCACCTCGCTGGGGAGGGGTCAGAAGTCAAGACGGTCAGAGGTTAAGCAGACATAAATCCCCCCATCGTGTCCCAGGCCTTTGCACCGCAAGGGATCCTTCTTCCACAACTTTGGGCCCTGGCCAAGGCACACTCTGGGGCTACCCCCCCAAACACACACCCTCCCATTCACACGCCGCCTTTTCTCACTTGAGTTTGTTCTGAATATCCTGGCCAGCCTGTTCCAGCAGAGCTCCCCGAATGAAGTTTCGGGGGATGGTGACGCGCTCCGAGACGGCCGCCAACATCTTGTTGTGCTCTTCGGCGGCCTGGACAGCATGCGGGCACAGCTCCTGGGTGAGGGCTACCATAGACTCCAGGATCACCTGGTGAGGAATGGCAGGTCACGCGGGAGAAGAACATGATGGCATACAGAAATCCCAGCAGTCCAACACCTGCAGGTATGTCCACACGAGGGCTTTTTCAAACAATCAAAACCTATTGTGCTCCTGGTGTGCTACCTGTCCCCCTCATCTCCCACAATGCTGTGCAGCTATTTATTTCGGTTGGGTCCGTTTGTAGAAAAAGAGCTGCAGGAGTTCATTGGCATACCTGATAGGCTATTAGCATATGCCACGCCCCCGACATCACCAGAAGTGATGTCAGAAGGGGAAGCAAAAAAGGGAGGGAGGCATCTCCAAAAGCCTCCCCTTCCCTTCCCCAGCCGGCCTGCCAAGGCGGGGGGGGGAGCACGAGAGAAGGGGTTTAAAGTCTTTCCATTGTATTCTATGGGGCCATAGAATACAATGGAGAGATTGCACCGCCGCTCTGGTGCAACTCCAGAGAGAAGGGGTTTAAACTTTAAACCCCTTCTCTCTTCGCTTCCCCCCTCACCCCGCCTTGGCAGGGCCGGCTGGGGAAGGGAAGAGGAGGCGTTTGAAGATGCCTCCCCCCCCTCTTTTGCTTCCCCAGCCAGCCTGCCAAGGCGGGGTGGGGAGGTGGATGGAAGCAAAGAGAGAAGGGGTTTAAAGTTTAACCCCCTTCTCTCTGGAATCTTTCCCTTGTATATGGAAAGACTCCAGAGAGAAGGGGTTTAAACTTTGAACTCTGTCTCTCTGGAGTTGCGCCACAGCGGCGGTGTGACTCTAGAGAGAAGGAGCTTTGGGGGCGGGGGCGGAGAGCTGGGAGCGGGGCTTGCTACCACCGCCATTTGTGCCCACTTCTGGGCTGCCAGAGCAGCGCTCCGACGCACTCCGGCCCCGAACAACCCGATTTCAGTTATTCATAGCCTACCTTTCTCGCCAAGACTCAAGACAGATGACAGTCTAAAGAGAGAGGGGTAAAATGCCATCATACAGCATAAGCCATCCAACGAATAATGTAATAGGACTAGGAATGCAAACGTATTACAGGTGGAACAGCTGCATTCGATTCCAGTAGCACCTTAGAGACCATCAAGATTTTGGGGGTATGAGGTTTCAAGATTCAAAGCTACAAGCATCCTGACTAGAGATGGGCACCAACCAAATGACAAACCTAAACTCGCCACGAACCGAGCCTGGTTCATGCTTCGCAAGCCTTGGATCACGCCGATCCCTAAACAAATGTTCTAAGATCGTCAACGTGAAAGAGCCACGAACCTCACAAACCCGAACTGGTTCAGGAAGCGGGGGAGGTTTGTCCCAGCTCATGGTTCGTGGGACCTCACAAACCACAAACTGGGACGCATCTCCATTTTCCTGGTTTGTGACCATCCCTAATCCAGACTCTTTTCTTTGCACCACCCCCTGCCTCCTTCTGACTGGGATACGAGTACTCACGGATCTCCATTCCAACTTGTATCTGACAAAGAGAGCTCGAACTCTGGAAAGTTCGTACCTCGAAAATCTTGTTGGTCTCTAAAGTGCTCCTGGAATCTAGCTGTTTTAATGCAGACCCACGTGGCTACCCTCTAAAACTGGCGAAGCAGGTCTTCTCTTCAATACACTCGGTCACCTTGACAAACACTTTTGCCGTCATGGGCCAGCCTGACCAGCCTGAGTTCAGAGTGGCCAGGGGACATTTCCTGCAGGAGCGCACAGGAGCGGAGCTCCGCCAGTAAAGAGCCCAGGGGGCGGGCACATGCAACAAACCCCACCCCCTGCTCCCAGCAGCCCTCAGTCAGAGCAAGAAGCAGCCAGGTAAGTTGCAGAGCTCCCCCCAGCCCCCCCGGTCCAAAACCTTCCAGTGACACCTTTAAGACCAGGTTCTATTCAGGTACAAGCTCTCCCTCCTCTGCAAGGACAGATCTGCACGTTTCCGCCCCCCCCCAATAGCTAGAAATCCAAAACAGTCCAGTGAAGCCTGAGCAGTGGGTGTTGCCTTCTGACACACTTCCGGTGAGGTCAGGGGGTGTGGCCTATGCAAATAAGTTATGCTAATGAGCTCCTGCACCTCTTTTTCTACAAAATTACCCCGAGAGTGGCTAAAGACTCCTCAGGAGTCAAGGAGCCACATGCAGCCAGCTCTGAACCAGCTGAAGTTAGTGAATTAGAGATACAGGAGCCTCAAGATCCATTGCTGGTAGTTGACCTTGACCCACTCACACCTAGCTCTGAAGTAGCCAACAAAGCACAGCTGCAGGAAAGTAGCACACCAGGTCCCCCCCCCCATTAACTGAACAGTGAAGGGAAAAGCTCCAGCAAGACTTAAGGACACGCAGACAGAGTTGCTCGCCTCTTGGCTTGGCGCCAGCTGCTTAACGATAGCAGCTCTGAGTACATGCAGGAGCACCTCTGAGCAGATGGCTGTAAATCTGGCTTGTTAAGGAATGCCTGCAGAAATCAGACCTGGAGAACTGCAGATTTGTGGAAGCAACGCGTCACAACCCTGTGAACGTCACGACCACAACTCCAGACTCTGCCTGCCTGCTGCGACCTTTGGACTGACCCTCGACTCTGCTTTTCGGTCCTGCCCGAGCCTTGCTGATCAACAGTTTCAGAAGGCCCTTGACTCTCCTTTCTGAGCAACCCATGAACTGTGACTGCTGCTAAACCGGTATTTGATTTCTGGACAGGACTCTTGGCTGTGATCCAGCTCTGTTGCCTCGCTCTGTCTGTATTCCAGGACACTTCCACAGTATCTTTGTGGCACCACTTATGCTGAGAGGCCCAGTCAGCCTGATGAGATATCTCGGATTCCATATAATATCAAGGTATCTCCATCCCATGGACAGACTCAGGTTTTTGGTTTTTGGTTTTGTCTCACCATCCTGATAAGAACAGCATCTCAATATTCCAACCAGACCTGTGTCTTGATTGGAAAGAGGAACAGGGTACCCACACGCTCCCACCCATCAAGTTACCTGCAGCTCTTTGTCCACGGCCTTTGATACCTCGCTCACAACTGACTCCAGCTTGTGTCGGACTGGCCCGTCACTGGCTAATATGTGCCCGAGTTCATACAGACTGGGGAAGAGCTGAGGGAGAGAGCAGAATGCAGGGGGGGGGGTTAGCTGCAATATAGTTAAGTGGACACTGAACATAAGAACATAAAAAGAGCCCTGGTGGATCAGACCAGTAGTCCATCTAGTCCAGCAACCTGTCTCACACAGTGGCCAACCAGCTCCTCTGGAGGGCCATCAACAAGGCATAGAGGTTGAGGCCTTCCTTCCCCTGATGTTGCCTCCTGGCTCTGGAATTCAGAGGCTTGCTTAGGGATGGGCACGAACCGGCTCATGAACTAAAGTTTGTGACAAATTTTGGCCGGTTCGTGCTCTGCGAAGTCAACCGGCACAAACTTTCCACAAACTTTCAAGCTGTTTGTGGAGGTTCCTGCCAGTTGGTGAACAGGTACGTTTCCAGACAGACTGTCTCCACTCAGTCTAAATGTTTACAAAATGTCAAAGCAACAGGCGAGTTGGAACTTGGACTGACGTCTCTGGCTTTCACAGGATCTGTTCTATACACTCCTGAAACTGTGCCTCTCAAAATGTCTGCCTATCATTTCCCCAGAAAACACTTTCCTGGGGGCACCTTCTTTGGGGGGGCGTAACTCAGAACCAATAAATCCAATCCTCATGAAACATGGAAGGCAGGTAGAGGAGAGTCAGATGAAGGCCCCCAGTGAGTTCGGTGTCTCTAGCATGCCAGGGGGGCATTCTACGGGGTCACAAAACACACAAACAAACTGGTTTGTTTGGCCCCTAAAAGTTCATGACAGTCAGAGTGGTTCATGAACCAGGCACACCATGAACCACAAACTGAAAAAGGAAAAAAGAAACCCCACAAACTGAACTGCATTTTCCTGGTTCGTGCCCATCCCTAGGCTTAGTGCCTCTGAATGTGGAGGTTCCCCTCGGTCACCATGGCTAGTAGCCATGAATCTATCTAATCCCCTTTTAAAGCGGTTTATTCCTGTGGCAATCACTACATCCTCTGGCAGCAAATTCTACATTTGAATCACTCTCTGTGTAAAGTAGTATTTCCCTTCGTCCATATTGAACCTACTGCCCATCAGCTTCATTGAATGCCCTCAAATTCTAGTATTTTGGAGAGAAAAAGTTCTCTTTGTCAGCTCATAATTTTAGAAATCTCTCTCATGCCCCCCCACCTTAGTCATCTAAAAGTCCTGGACTCTTCAGCCTTTCCTCATAGGAAAGATGTTCCAACCCCCTAATCATCTTGGTTGCCCTCCTCTGGTACTTCTTCCAGTTCTCCAATGTCCTTTTTGAGATATGGTGACCAGAACTGTACACAGTATTCCAAATGAGGTTGCACCATCGATCTATACAGGGGAATTACAATATTGGCCGTTTGATTCTCAATCCCTTTCCTACTAATCCCTAGAACGGAGTTTGCCTTTTTCACCACTGCAGCACATGGGGTTGACAATTTCGTTGAGCTAACCATTACAACCCCAAGAACTTTTCCCCGCTCAGCCTCAGCAGGTTCAGACCGCATTCGCCAATACTTGAAGCTGGGATTTTTTTTGTCCCATTGTGCATCACCTGACACTTACTAACACTGACCTTCATTTGCCACACTGTCGCCAACTCACCCAGTTTGCGGAGGCCCTCTTGAAGCTCTTCACAGTTAGTCTTGGTTGTCACCCTCCTAGATAATTTTGTGTCATCTGTAAACTAGGCCCCCACATTATTCACCCCGAGTTCCAGATGATTTATGAATAAATTCAATAGTATCGGCCTCAATACCGATCCTCGTGGGACCCCGCTGCATACTTCCCTCCATTTGTCTGAACTGTCCATTGATTCCTATCCTTTGCTTCCAGTCATTTAACCAGTTTTTAATCCATAGGAGAACCCGTCCTCTTATCCCATGATTGCTACGTTTCCTCTGGAGTCTTTGGTGAGGGAACTCGTCAAAAGCCTTTTGGAAGTCCAGGTATATGATGTCTACCGGGTCACCGTTGTCTACAGTGGCGTGAAAGCCCTTAAACCTGGATATGGGAACAGCTGAGAGAGAAATTTAGTGGCCTGGAGTGTCCCGGAAATGTCAGGGGTGGGATGAAAGTGGTTACTTGGTAGTGAGGGAAAGGCACTCTGCTTATGCTCTACAGCACTCTTTTCCGTTACTTGTGTACAGCTGGTCAGGGCTGGGCTCCAGTGCTGGGAAAAGGGCTGTCGTTCAGGGTAGAGCACCTTGCTTCCCTGCAAAAGATCCCAAGAATAGCCCCTAAAATCTCGGATTCAAAGGTTCCCAAAGACCCCTTTCTGCCTAGCACTTTAGAGAGCTGCGGCCAGTCAGTGTAGCCAGTACTGGAGAAAGAGACCCAACAGTACTGGAGAAAGAGACCCAGACAGCTTTATATAACCGTTTCAGCCGCTAAATTGTGGCTCCAGTTAAGCTGAGTGACAAGCTATGGGGTTCATCTGCACGAGAGCTGTAACGCGGGTTGGACCCCCAATCCGACTCTCATTCGTGCATACCATTGGAGGACTCGCCGTAGAAAGCGTTCCATTGGTCAATCCGGCTCAGGAGTGCTGCTCGACATGACAAGGGGCTTCTGCCTTCCCACCTGCACTGTTTCCTCAAGTGGACATGGGAAAACGGTATGGGAGAAAAGACAGAATCCACTTGCGAGTAGCAATGGGCGATGGAGCATTTTCTGAGGCGAGTCCCCCAACGGTATGTGCGACTGAGAATCGGGTTGGGGATTCGCAGCACACATCCCATGTAGACGAGCCCTTATAGAGGTGTGCTGAACGGGATGTTCTCAGGATCAATAACTTCTAGCCATGGTCATCCGAGGCGGATATGCAGGACGAAAGCGTGCCGAGGGGAGAATAACGCCAAGCCGTCAAAAGGAAGATGGATATCTCACCGCCCGCGAATTCTTGGCTTCCTTCATGAGCTCCCGCGCATACAGCACCTCCTCCTGGACAGTGTCAGCTGAGCAGCTTCGGAGCACTCGTACTTCTTCTTGGACCCTCACACACAAGCGGCTCATCATCTGGGGAGAGGAAGGACACGGAGCCATTAACTCCTGCCCTAGAGGCCAGGCCAAGTCCCGGACTCCCCCTCACCCTGCCTCGGGCTGGCAAATCCCAGAGATCCTGCACCATTCTGCATCCCATTTCCCTCTTTGGATGGAGAGGA